TTCCCGAATTAGCGCATGTGTAACCTACCTAGCAACGGGTCAGGATAGGACAAAAATATAAAAAGTCGAAAGAGCATCGGTAAAACATTTTTTTTTAAAGAAAGCGGAGTGAGTGTGGGTAGGTACAAACGAGGGCAGCTAGAAGAACTATTTTCAGTTAAAAAAGATGATTTTTTTAGAGAAAATAGACTAAAATAGAGATGGTACGTGTGTGTTTCAAAGAGTAAAATATGATCGTGACAGTTTTTCAACTCTCAAAATACCCAAATATTACGCTACAGCCAAATAATATTTGTATGCTCATCATTGTTCTCCCCAGGATGTAAACAGCGTGGCGGTCCCGCCCCAGTGCTTCGATTTGCTGCCACACCGGTCTGACACCGCCACGGTGATTAGCAAGACCGCCACAGTGCATTTTTCATTGGGGATCTCGTCGTGAACATAATCCTGGCTGAAACGTTTCAAATTGGTTTCTTTTAACCTTTTACAATTTATTTATTTATTTTTAGTCTGCAGCATTTGCATGTTTCATTTTTAAATTCAAACTCTTCTAAATTGTGAATCGTAATATTTTGACTCCAATAAAAAAAATATTTGCACTGTGACCGAGCTCATTAATATTACAAAATAAAACAGTGTTTATAGCACTGTGTGAAGCAAATAAATATCTGCCACTTTGTTTTTGAAAATATATGTGTGTATGTGTGGGTGTAAATGTGCTTTGGTCAATTTGTATTATTATGTAAATGATATGCAAATTATATGCAAATTAGGCCGCCACACTGGTTTAAATTCCTTGGGAGAACACTGCTCATTATTCATGCCTCGGCAGACTAGTGTGTAAATTTTCAGAGACTATCACGAGTTAGTTGAAAGATGATGACAGTTTCATTTCAGGTGAATTTTTACGTTGCAAGTTGGAAACATTGATGTTCAGTGCACTGCGACTCTGCACGTTCAAAATGTTCAAAATCTGTCCTACCTTCCTGATTGTTGACCCCCCAGGTCACGCGATATGCGCAAGCGCACAAACGAATGTAGGAACACTATCAATTAAGGAACCCTGAATTACCAACATTTACCATGAGTATGACTTAAAATTTATTTATATAGACTATTTTTTATTTTTTTTATATTACACTTTATTGCTGTACACTGATCCAAAGATGCAATAAAACATTATTATTATTATATACCAAGTATCAAAGTTGGCAGTTTTCAAGAAGAAGATGTAATGTTGATGGATGAATGATGGACAATCACTGATTTGAACAGCTCCACTCTGCCATTTATGCTAAGAGCTAAGAAAACGCGGCCGAATTTCCTGCTTGAATCTTTTGATGAAAATTTTCTGCAGTGGATAGGATATCTCAATGACTTCCGACTATCACTGGTATATGGCGGCAGTGTTTTTAATCATTATTAAATATAGTATAACATTTAGTATATCCGCGATTATACGATTACTATTTTTATCCATGGTACGTTTTAATAAGGTGGGAGTCCCGAGCAGCCGACGCAAGGCCTCAGGGAAAAGGGTCAACAGAGGTCGAACGGTCCAAAACCATTCCGATATTTAGCAGTTATAAATCGAGCCATTATTAATATTTAATTTCAGAGATGAGCAATGCTTGTAACGTTAATTCCCATGCATAACTAACTAGTTGTCGAGAAAACAACGATATATTGACGATTTAAATATAAGCGAGTGGTTGCACTGAATCAAATGGAGTGATCAGGTCGACCCGTGCCGGGGCTATCTGTCCCGTTGAATTGATCGGGGAAGCCTACATTTAGCAGACAGCAAACCGATCGACCAGACAGCCACTACAGACTTACCTGCCGACTCCCGTGTCCAATAACGCTATTTTTCCAGTCTGTTCTTGCAATATTTCTTCGCTTTGTCGTTTTTTGTTACCAATCAGACGAATGAATGGCTGAGTTAACAACTGCCGATTCGCCGAAAATCATTTTTTGAAATAAAAATGACCGACAAAGACTTCTAATTTGGATATTATATCAATAATATGACAAATGTAGTACGAAAATCGAATTTGTTTAAGACAATTATTTGACTTTTTACAAAAGAAAATATAAAGCGAATTTACAGTCTACGAAAGGACAAGATTTTGTCATTAATATTTCGATACTGAGGGCGCTATTTAACTTGGACGTGAGAATAAAGCAAAAAGTCCAGGCCAAATCAGTGTTCTGGTCACTGAGATAAATAAGTTCGGAAAAAAACTTGACAAGGAACTTAACTTTTTTATTTTATTCTTCATAAGATTTTAATAACATCGTGGTGTGCGGCTGTAAAAAAATTGTAAAATGTTTTAAATAGTGCTCTGTTAAGATTTTTTTATAATTCATTGCACCTTTTTAACCTATTTAAATAAAATCCAGATTTGAATAGTTCAGAATATCAAAAAGTATTCGCATTACCAGCTGAAGGTGTGTCCCAGAATAATTTTCAGAAATTGTGATTATACAAATTGACAAAAATGAATTCGGGAAAGCATTTGTAGATAAAAAACAAAACAACTGGAAAGATTTTGGGCAAAGTTTCAATTGTGACCAAACATATTGACTATGCTGCCCTGTTATCATAAATAAATAAACATATGTTTGTCTGCATTTTTTAATTCAGTATTCAGTTCGTATTGCCATGGAGGTAAAAATACCAGATAAATACCTCCATGGTAGTGCCAAGCCAGTCACAGATATCGTGTTTTACTCTCCCACCCACCCCACCCTCTTTCAAAACGGATAGAATATGAAATTTTACCATGGGTGTGCGACTCCTTTTATTTTCAAATCTTGAAAAGTCAACGCCGGTTGATTGCTCTTTCTTACTTCACCAATAATCAACACAGATTGATTGCAGTCTTTTACAGATTGATTAGTGTGTCTGCAATACTCAAAACACGTTGAATGCAATACTGTTGTTATTACTTTATTTACAAATTATTTACAACCTCTTACTATAAGGCTCATCACAAGTTGATTGCATGCTGCTTTATTTCTTTTTGATTCCAAGGGGGACTTTAGTCCATTAGTCTAGTCTGTAATTTTCAGATATGTACGTTACAAGTGTTTTCAAAGTCAGCATGTTTACTTTTACATAACATTTGCATAAATATGCATATTCTTTGTGAAAACACTGTTTTCTTAATTAGTAGTGTTTTAGTAATAAACTACCCCCTATATGAATCCAAGAAATGTATGTGAGTGTGTGTGTTCTTTGACCTCCCAAACTGGCTTTCCCTATTGCTGCAGTGCAGTGCCCTCACAGGCCGTACCTGGATTTAAATGATTTTGCGGCGTTGTTACTGCACGCCCTCGACGGGTAACTTTTCAGTCGTGCTGGTAAAATTTACATGCCCGTCACTCCGGCACTGACTTTTCATTGTCTGCAGTATTTTACGTTTACTGCGAGATCCCGCGTTATGCGTGAAATCGTATGTAAAAACAGGGAAACCAAAGACCATCAAAATTTGAAATTGCGCACGAATTATGACGGCATTTAATGTGGAATATGCTTCATGCGCTTACAAAAAATAATATCTTTGTACAAATTACGGACGAATAAAATAGCTGATTACATTTTACAACTTGCCCATGTCTACGAATTTACGTTTTTTTATTTATTTAAATTACATTATTACGAAAATAAAAACAATTGATTACAGTATACGGAAATACCCCTTGCCGACACCCGTCGTAGTGCGGCAAAATACATTTGATGATCGATAACTTGGCTGTAGTAAGTTTTTTTCAACGCCTAATTCCTCTCTGGAAGCTCGACATTGTGACATTAAACTACAAAAAATGTTCAAAACAAATCATTCGATTTTTCCAGGATTCGTTCGGTCCGCGCCCTTCACGCATTATGCGAGATCTCGCAGTAAACGGACAATCACCAATTATTAAATACATGTTAGAAGAAAAAAAATTACATGAGAATTCAGTAAAAAAAAACATTTCCACAGTTATTGTACCATCTACCTTTTTATAATGGTCAGATTTATTAAAATCTCGTGACGACCCGGGCAAAACAATCACCCTGACCTAATTACGCATTTTTATTATTCTTTCAAGGTTACGGTACTCGCTTAATGTTTTATTGCCATCAAGACCAAGGTCAATATATCTGCAGTGCAGTCTCATTAAAATATGATATACATATAC